AATTCTTCCCTAGTGCCTGCCTAACCCTGCCTCTTGGCAGTTTTCCCCATCTCGTATTACCAATTTTAGTCCGGCCTGAACTGCGGCTCGTGTTTGGTTTGGTGGGTAGGTTGGGTGGTTGGGTGGTTGGGTGGTTGGGAGGTTGGGTGGTTGGATGGATATATCACATGGATATTTCGGTTATTATTGGCCATATTTTAATGCTCTCTCACTGCTGCTACTGCTGCTGCTGTCCGTGTCCGGTGCTTGCTTTCTGCTTCGAGCCAACCGAGATTTGTCGTAGTCCATTTTTGATTTATTTATGTGTTTATTTGCCTTGTTTTTGGGGTCCGGGCTCTGCGTCTGTGATTACTCATGGCTCCATGGACATGAACCGGAGAGCAGCTCTGTGTGCGCTCATATTCGATTTGCATATTATTTTATTTGCATTTTACATAATAATTTAATTTTATTAGTTTTGCTGCATCATCATCATCATCGTCATTGGCCTGATGGTGCGGCTCAAGTTTTGCCAATCCTAATGGCTCTAATGGCACCTTGGCGTTACCACTTCCCCTTACCCAATATATTTTCTCTACGTAGTTTTCCCAGTTTCCGTTGCCGCGTTCCTCACGTTTTCCACATTTCCCTCAAAAAACCCACCCATTGATTGTATATTTTGAGGTCGTTGTCCGACATTTCATCGACGTTTTTTTTTTGGTTCAGGTCTCCCGCTGTTTAATTTTATTTTTATTTCAGTTTTTGGCTAGCTCTATGGGGGACACTTAATGCGAACCACGCCCCCACGCCTACTCCACGTTTCTCCGTGTATATACTATAATTTCTAGTTGCATTTTGGGCTTTCCATTTTTTTTTACTTGCTTTTTTGGGTATTTATTTTCATGGTTTACTTGTAGCATATTTCGTTGGCTACCACATTCATTTAACTTTATGGTGAAGGGTGTTAAGTGTAGGAAGGGAACCCAGAAAAGAGAAGGGTCTACGGGGTACGGGTTGCTGCAGGGATTGCCCGACAATTGCCGCAGTCTTTGGAGAGTCTTCCCAGCGCGACGGCCAGTCGTAAATTAGTTGCGAATGGCAGCAGTAACACCATCAACAACAATAACAATAAGGCCAACACACCAACAACAACACCACCAACAATAACAACTACAACAATACAACAACTAGCCGGAAAAGTTCCACCGTGCAGAGCGAGAAAAGTTCAAAAAGTCGAAAGGAAAAGTTCAGTAAAAGTGTGAGGTGAAATTATTATCAAGTGTTTTGCCATGAAATTTGTGGCAGCCTTAAATTGATGCACCTGTTTGCGTTCAGAGACACAAAGTGTTTTCAATTTAAATTAACATATATGGCAGAGATTAAACTTACACAAATAAATTAATGAAGGATTATAGAAAATAGAAAACAAACACGTTAATTCCATTCCAACACTACAACAATAATTCGTAGTTCTTCAACATTAGGAATTTTGGTATTTGGTATTTTTACCAAAAAAGTTTTGAGAACTTAAGCAAAGTTCAAATTAAAGACGTTTTAAATTACAACATGAATTTTAAGTGACACTTAAGTAGTACTAATTTTACGACAATGGATTTCACCAACGATTTAATCTCCCAAATTATCTGCATTTCGGTGGAAATTTTTAAAGAACTTCAGAAAAAGTATTTAAATAAAAAGAATAATACCAATGTAAGCTATTAATCACCAACAAGATTCACCAATAATATTCTTTTACCTGATGACTTCTATATATACAAAAAATATACAATTTTCCGACTACCAAAAAAATACAATGACTTATCTCCTAACTGTTATAAATCTAAACTTATATTACATATAATTTCACCAACACCTTACACCAACGATTTTCCCATAAAATAACCGAATACTAAAGCTAGTTTTAGTCACCTGATTACTCAAGTATTTAAAATAATTGAAAGCCATCTAAAAATCTGCCACCACCGCAATATTTTAAGCAACTCCGTAGCTATTTTCCACACATTAAGCAGTTGAGTGAAAACCCCCCAAAGAGTTGATACCCGAAAAGAATAAAAGTGCCAGGGAAGGAGCACCAGGACATCAGGCAGTCCGTCCAACCATTCCAAAACGATTCACCGAATGACTTGCAGACAAACCCGAAAATCTGACTCAAACACGGAGGGGGTCAGGACGAAATGGAACCTTAACGTTCGATGCAATTTGGCTGGCTTCTGGTGGCGCTGCCATTACCAATTATTTGCGCTGTTATCGCGACCTTCTTGTGCTGACCCCAATTTGGCCAATAAGGTTTCCTTGCTGCAAAAAAAAAGGACGAGCGAGCAGCAGGGAAAAGAAAAGAAAAGAAACGAAAGAATGAAAGAAAAATACAAGTACATAGAGCAAGAAAGGAGCCGCTAGCTTCGAGTTTCGAGCTTGTTGATTGCCTTCGCGTCCTGGCGATGGCAGCTGATTGAAGTGCAAGGTGAGGCGGCGCCTGGCGAGGCGAATTGCCTTCGACAATTTTGCACAGTGTCTGGGAGGTCCTTGGGCCAGGTTTCTCTTTCACTTTTAATGGCAACTGGCATAATGAGCTGCAAATATGTGTGCCATGTGCCACAAGCCCAAACTCGGAACTCGAACCGACGCGATGCGACGCTCCACTCGCTTGCTGCATTTGTTTTGGCCACTTGGGAGTTGGCTAGGCTAAAAAAAAAATACAAAATCAAGAAAAAACAAAAAAAAACCCTTTCGACGACCCTTTTGGCCAGCATTGACACAATAAAACATTTGTTGTCGTTGCATTTATTGACGCATTTGCTCTTTTGCATATTTTGCATGCCGGCTGTCATACCCTTTCCAAAAAGCATATTAACCATAACAATTTTAAACAAATTTCTAATATAATAAATAATAACAAAAAAATAGAGAAGCAATGCAGAATTTTAAATATTATTTGATTTATTGGTTTATTAATTAGTCTATCAATTAATTTTTATTTCAATTGGTAACATGTATTTAAGAGGATCATTTTATAATACTATGTTGCAGAATATTTATTATTTTGGGTAATAGATCTTTGGCTTACGATGACTTAAAAAAGTATTTATGTTTGAAATTTTGGCTTTTAATTTATAAAATAATAGACCTTTGGCCTTTCGTGGTATTGTAAAAAAATATTTATGGTTTGTAACTCATAAATCAATAGATTATTGGCTTATGCTTAAAATATTTAAATTGAATTATTCGATCTTTGGCTATTGGCGATATTTTAAAAAATATTTGTGGTTGAAATTAAGAGTTTTCATAAACTTAATATGTTCATATTAATTGTATTTGATTGTATTACATCATTTACACTGAACTGAAGTTTACGAAATAAAGCAAAACAACAGCCTTATCTTGCCTTTAAATATAGGTAAATATTAAAAAAAAAGAGATATATACACATAAATAATATAGAAAGTTATATAAAATTATAAATTTATGATGAACCTTGGTTAAGTCATATAAATACTATATAAAATCAGTCAAAAAAACTTATTAGTAATCATATAGCTGATGATCAACTATAATTTTTGAAGTCTTGCTGGACAATAAATTTATTTAAAGGAATAAGGAATTAAATATTTTGTTAATTTCTTTTTATAAACTCTATAGAGTTTTATAAAGAGTACCAATAAGTTGATTTCTAAAAACTCCGCAGTTTCTCGCTTTTTATTGTTGTTTGCTTGTATTGGGGCTCCGCGACATGCGACAAAATAAAATGTAATTTCTCTTTTAGGCCCAGTTCTCCAGTTCCAGTTAGCAGTTCCCAACCCTGGCCAACATGCGACAATTCAATGCTGACAACAACAAAAAAAAAACCAACTATAGTAACAAAATATGCAAATCGTAGTTTCTAGTTGGGCGAGGTCAGGCACACCGACTGACTGACTGGGGTTTGGGTTATTGGCTAAATTGGAGTCAAGTGCAATCTCCTTCCCGCCGCCCCATCGAACACATAAATAATTTAAGAGTGCGAAAACAATTTTTTGCCCAACCGGAATTTTGTTTAGATTTTATTTTAAAGGGCGAGGAAGTGAGAAGGGCTTGGGGTTGGGGTGGAAAATAATTACAGCAAACAAAAAAGTTGTTTGGTTATTGTTATAATCTCGTTTAAATGTGATATTGGGATTTTTAATTGTTATGCTTTTTAAATGATTTTATTTCGGATGTCGATTTCGGTGTCTTTTTCATTGATTTCGGCAGCACATTTTCAATAGTTTTTACTACAGCTGCTGGGTATTGTGTTTATTTTATTTATGCCATTCATTTATATTCAAAAATGGGCCAGTGACATTTTCATTTCTGATAATTCCCTTACAAAAAATCATTTTACTTTATTTTTTTTGTGTGTTAAATTTTTACATTTAAGAGGGATTTGTTGTATGGAATAATAAATTCTTTAGGCGGTTCAAGGAACTGAATTAAATACAAACTTTAAATAATATAAATAGTTGCTGGGGCTTAATTTGTTTTATTTTCTTTTCCAACACTATAAGAATTGTCACTTCTCCAACATTAGGAATATATTTCTGAAACCGTTTTCAATTAAATACAAAAAAATTAATTTTAATTCGGTTACCTTAACCTAATTTAAAACTTACACCAATGGATTTCACCAACGTTTTAATCTTTCATGCTACCCGCATTTTGTTCGTAAAGGTTTTAAACTTACCAAAGAATATTTAAATTAAAAGGTACAATACCAATCTATTTTTTCACCTGATTATTCCAATTAAAAACACTTTCACCTGACTTAAAATATATATATCGAGTTGCTCCTATTTTTTAAATACAAATTTTAATCTTTACATGCACTAATGTAACTATATGATTTTGTTACATCTCTGGGGATTTTTTTTTGGTTTGTTAAAATATTTAGAATATTTATATGATTTTTACATGTTTTTTTACAACTACATATTTTTTAAATTTGATTTTTGTCTGATTTTTGTTATCAATTTTTTTTTTGTATTATTATTAAAATAATTTCTTTTTTTTAAAGAAAGAACATATTTCGTCTAAAAAAACACCCAACAGATCGAATGATGGGCACTGGAATATATCAGTGCCCGCCATCCGATCCGTTGGATCAGTGAAGCGAAATATGTTCCTTCTCCAAAGAAGGATGTCCTCTGTACTCTGGCTCATAGGGGGAGTCATTTGGCGATATATTGGATAAGAAACTGGATCTATTGGAGATTTTGGTGCGCAGTCGCTTGTTGGTCACCAGCTGTGTCATTTTCCGAAGCGTTATGTAGTCCCTGTTCAGCATGCGGCACAGTTCGATGAAGATGCAAAGGCGTGGAGACTTTAGCTCAATAGCCAGATCGTAGGCATAGTTCAGGATATCCTTCTGACGCTCATACTTGTGGAGGACGGCATGGGATTTGGCCATTAGCATCATGCCGTGGAACTGCCACACGAGGCTGTTGCATGTCTTGGCCTCTTCGGTGGCCCTGTGGGCATAGGACAGGCACTGGCTGAAGTGATTTATCTGCATATGCCGATCGGCCAGTTCGTGTAGCAGATATGCCCTCTCAATAGCCAGATTGGAGAACAATAGACGCCGTTCCAAGTGCTCAATGTAATTGCTAAAAAGCTTTTAAACTTCAAAAACCAAGAACAAAAATCAAATCGGATTTTAATACTCACTGATGTTCGGCCATTCGGTCCGTGTATGGTTTATCGTGACCCGCATTGATATAGGAGGCTCGATTGCCAAAGATGACCTCCGTGAACTCCAATGGTTTGGCAGGGGGTATATTGAACAGGGTGCACATGGCGTTCTTATCGTGTGGCGTTAGTCGAGTCTTTGGAATGCGATAGATCTCACAAAGACTGAGACCTAGATGGTTATAGACCTCATTCATAAACTCCACCTTCCAAGGCATCATGCGTTCGGTCTTTAGGATTACATAGTGGCCCATCACATCCTCGATGAACTTACGCAGGCACTGGTTAAATAAGAGAAATCTTAATTACTTTAATATTAAAGAATAATATTAAGATTAACTTACACTGAGATCCTTTCTTTTCCTAAGGACCCGTATGGTTCGAAGGATACTATGCATATTACGTCTGGTCTGGTATTGAATCCTGTACAGATTTGCCTCTCTCATGCGGGCCTCCATTACAGGACTCCGCTGAAAATACTCATTGTACATGGGGCTACGGGCATGGAGCATTCTGGCAAAGGACTTTAGACGCAGGAACGATTTCTCGAGATATGCCCGCCTCTCCTTTGAGGAACCAGAAGTGTGGTCCTGCAGGAGATTCGGGTTGCTGCGAAGCGTTTTTAGGAATATAAAATCGGTCCAATTGCGACCCAAGTAGTTCTGATAAAAGTTCTTGGTCTTGCGACATCTACGCTCTTTCTCCAGGGGCGATATCATCACCTCCTTTCGATCAATAAAGCTCTGAACATCGCATTCCTTGCGAGCCCTTCGAATTTTCCACAGTGGCCGCTTGTCCGCCTTCTCGAGTTGATCCCTCTTGTGTTCATAGAATCCGGGCATTTCGGTCGAGTGTTCCATATAGAAGTTCGTCAGGCTGTCCCCAGTGCTATCCTTGAGATTCTCGTCGACGGTATGTAGGCGCTTCTCAAAGGGTTCCAGTGAAGTGCCAATATTTCGACGAATACTATTATGTAAGAGTACCTTGTTGTCCTCGAACCGATTGAGATCATAAAGGCAATCGGCCATTTCCATTGTCACACTGGAATCCCACTTAGTCATTGCCTCTGTGGCCTTCTGACTATCCCTTAGGGCACCCTGAGCCAAGCCCACTGTCCTTTGGAATTTGCTCCTTAGGCAAAGGGCCTTTTGCTTGGTAACATTATCATGCCGGGCAACGCACAGATTAAAGTTCCTCATGGCATCGATATCCCTGCTCCGTCTCGCCAAGAACTCACCCCAACTACAATGGATTTGTCTCCTCTCTTCCTCCGTTGAATCGAAATGCATCCATGGTTTCTGGTTGGCGACCATTGAAATTCCCAACGATATGTCCCTCATCTTTCGTTTCAGTCTTAGTCAAAATACGTTATAAAACACTACAAAAAATTCTTAAGGTGTAACTAAAAAGAAAAACAAGGCTTAAAAACGAAACGGTGTTTGTTATTCCTAAAATTCAAATGAACATGATGGAAAAATCGAATACACTATTTGAAAACATAAATATAGTACGAAACATATCTAATGAATGTTAATACAACACATTAAATTCAACAAAATATGATATATATTTAAGCTTCATTTTCGAGAAAATATTTAATAAATACATTAAAGGTAAATGTTACTATCAAACATGTCTTAAGTTTATCCAAAGTTTTTGTAAACACAATTTAAGTACTTTTAGAGTGTATAATATCATTTTATAAAAGTTACCCAGCAACCGACCTTAACAACTGCAATACATTTTCAAATACAAAAACGCTATGTACAAAAAAAAACAGATAATAAATCTTTAAATTCACGATCGATCACAGCCATCACTTTTGCTGGAAGGGATCCTTTTCGATGTATTTATCCAGACTCTGATCGCCATCGGGCTCTACCTGGGACAGCTCCCTGAATCCTTCTTCGTCAACGAAACAGATCTCATGACCATCTGGATCGGCAAGAATAAGCACCGAAACGGTCGCCTTACCCGGCGTATCCAGGGTGATCAGAGGCTTCAGTATAGAGCCACCGACTGCCTTTACGGCTTCATGAAGCGGTGGCTGCTTGGCCGATGGTATAGCAAAAGCAATCCTTCCATAAGCTTTGGCTCTGTCCAATGGCTCCTTGATCTCTGTGATTTGCAACGAAGCCTGGTTTCCTCCGTAACTTAGGCGCAAACTCTGATTGTTTTCATCGAGCACTTGCATTTGGAGCAGCTCGTGCCAGTACTTCCGGGAGGACTGGAGATTGCTAACATTCAGCTCCACCGACTGGACGGGATCAGAACTGGCCGGTGGCTGCTCAATCACATAGAACTTGTAGCCATCGGGTGAGGTAATCAGACTGCCTTTGCCAGCCACCTTCGTTACGGGATACGAGTGTTTGGCGACTCGTGGAAGAATCTCCGTGGAATGAATAGTTACGCCGCCAAAATCGTTGCCTAAATGAAGGAAATCATTATAATTAATAATGAAATGATTACATTTAGAGAGTAACTTATATTTAAAACTATAATCTATGTTGCTTTTACTAGAAAATGTTTATGTAGCTTTCTTTTGAGTAGCTTCACAGATTAATTACTGCAAAAAAGATTTCTGCCTACTCAAAGATTACTTTGTTTGTGCTAACTTCTTCAAGAAAGAGATTATTTATTTTTAATCTATTCAAAATTACGCACAGTCACTTATCAAATCTATTAATAGTGGAGCATATGTACATTCGATTGAACCACTTAATTAGAAAGGTGTCAGAGAAAGAACAAACCAATTGTTTTTATAGATGAGAAATTCATGGATTAGTCCTTTTTTTAACATTGCCAAAATCTAAGCTTAAACTCAAATCATTATTTTTTGTATCTAAATTAATGATCTGTTGTTTCCTATTCAAATGCTTGTTTTCCTATAGTATATAGGATTATAAAGTATTAAGGAGCTCCTTTCTCATATTATAATGGAGTTCTTAGTCAGTTTAAGAAAGAATTAGAAAACAATAGGTTTGATTTCTAGTACCTATAAACCCATTAAGTGCTCAATACCATACCCATCTTGTAGCTGCTAACTCCATAGTTATAGGTAAGCTCGATGACGAAATGCGAATCCTCGGGTCCATAACCGACCATAGTTTTGCTCCACCGGTTGTCGTAGGGCCTGTGTAAGGATTAAACATTACCGGTTTTAGTTAGTCCTTGCAGCTAAGCCAGGCATCTCGCTTGCACTTACCCGTTGCATTCAGCGTCGCAACCTTCTTTGAACTCCTCATGCCGCAGTACCTGTTGCCGCGAGACAGAGTGAGAGAGCATGATTAAGACAATGATAATATTGTAGAGTGGGAATAATAATAGTTACACCGTCATAATACGATTTTATCTGGCATCTGGGCTTTTTAATTAGCGAATGTCAGTTGCTGTTCAGTCGTTGACACGTTGTTCAGATAAAAAAAACCCGGCCCAGACACAACAGGAGCGATAAGAAAGTCTGCCGATTTATGCATGCACACTCCCAGTGTTAAACTCCCCCCTCTCCATCTCTTTCTGCCACTCTCCGAAATTCGGTTATATCCACAGCCCGTTCCCTTACCTTCATGCCAAGGATTTGGCGGAAGAAAAAGGCGTTTTTAGCCCGATCGCCGATCTTAAAGACATAGTGGAGAGCACGTCCTGGAATCGCTGACATGGCTAGGCGGGTGCTTAAAGATGCTTCGGAAGTTGGTGAAATGTTTTCCAATCGGTTTGTGGTCGTGCTTTTGTAAGGGGACGGGGCTAGAGGATGCACATTCATCGATTAAGGCCATCGATAGTATGAGTCACCAAAGTAATCGATTGTATGTAATCGATATTCTTCCATCGCTAGTTCCATGGCCCACTTTATTAAGGGAACCGCAGGGTCACATTGGCTGTAAACCAAATCCTGGAATATATTTATTAAATATCACCGCATTCTGATCTGTAACAAATATATCAACATGCCCGATGCCGAACAATTGCCCGAAGGATGGGAGAAGCGCACTAGCCGCTCAACAGGTTAGGAGTACCCCCAACAGAGAGTTGGGTTAATGCAGCGAAAACGCCGACCGGCGTCTAAAAAAAATTTGCGCACTTCTTAATTTTTGTAGGCTTGAGCTATTACCTGAACGTCTACACAAAGGAATCGCAGTGGGATCAGCCCACCGAACCGGCCAAGAAGACCGGCGGTGGATCAGGCGGTGGCGGATCCGGCGGTGGGGCCGGCGACTCTCCGGACGAGGTGCAGTGCCTGCATCTGCTGGTGAAACACAAGGGCAGCCGGCGTCCCAGCTCGTGGCGAGAAGAGAACATCACTAGGACCAAAGAGGAAGCCCAGCTGCTGCTGGAAGTGTATCGCAACAAAATTGTCCAGCAGGAGGCCACCTTTGACGAGCTGGCACGCTCCTACTCCGACTGCAGTTCCGCCAAGCGCGGCGGTGATCTTGGAAAGTTTGGCAGAGGTAAGAATTCGCTAGCACCCGTGATAGCAACTCACTGAGAGTGACGACTCTGTTGCAAGTGTAACTATGCTCACCAACTTTCGAAACCTGCACAGGTCAAATGCAGCCGCCCTTCGAGAAGGCCGCCTTCGCCTTGAACGTTGGCCAGCTATCGGGGATAGTGGACACTGATTCAGGACTCCACATTATCCTTCGCAAATCGTAAACAACTCGTTCATTTCCAACAACAACCACAATATCAGCTACAACGGTGTCATCGCACGAATAAAAATGAATTACAGCCATTTCTCAATATATAGGTTTATGTATTTTTAAAAAATTATGTTGTCTAAGCTAGCAAAACGAGGTTATCGTTTTCGGTTTCATTTGCCGCTATTTAAGGCCAGTTTGGTGGCCAGCATCTTGGCCCCGGGCGTCTTCTGACCAAGTAGCGTCTGGCTAAGGCTCTTCTCCGACGTGATGGTCTCCTTGCAGGACTTCAACAGCGATGGACTGTTCTCCACTAGCTTGACAAGGACAAAACAAGCTCGATTCACACTCAGCCACGAGTTTAGCTAAAAAGAAGAAATATTGGGAACAGAAATGGAAATTATTTCCTTTAAAAATATGAAAGTGTCAAAAGTCCTATATTAAAAACTGAATAAATGCTCAAATCTAAAATTAAAATACAGCACTTAAGCAAAGATCAACTCTTAGCACTTTTGTAGACTCGATGCGTTTGCAATTAAAACAATATCTTTGAAAAATATAAACTAAATTAAATCATTAAAAAATCTTCTAATTTAATTTAAATATCAAAATATATGTAGAAAATAGAGCTGGGAAAAACTCTTAATATTAAAAACTTATTGATATACTCACCACATTTACATCGGCGGATAGATTTTGCAAAAGCTGCTGTCCGAATGTAATGTCACCCTCACGCTTTACATCATTCTTGAGGATCTTTTTTAAGACAATGTGCATACCAGCCTCCTCGATGCCGGAGACTAATGGAGCTGCTTCTGCTAGCTCCTCTTCCTTTGCCTTTTTGGCTTTCTTCAGCTTGGGGGCTCCGTCTTCATCTTGTTCGTCTTCTCCTTCATCCTCAGACTCGTCCTCTTCGCTGCTGCTGATATCGTTCTGGAGCAGCTTTTTACGCTGCTTGGTGGCCTCTGCTATAATGGCCTCCACATCATTGTGTGCCTTCTTCTTATCCTGTGGCTGTGGCCCGGCCGCATCCGCTGTAATGCGCCACTCCGGCTGAGCAATCACTTTGGCCAAAGCGGTAGCCGCCTTCTCATACGATTCGCCCTGAACTGAAAAGCAATTATATAAATTTAAGTAAATCTACATAAATTAATATATGCTGGACTTACGGTGATTGAGAACATCGGCGGTAACTAGGCCAATATGGCTGTTGGACAGCCAGAAGGCCGGATCCTCAACAATGTTTTCGGCAATCGGTGCTTCGATCTGCTCGAAGATCTCCTTACGGCGCAGCTCCTTCTCCTTCTTGCCGTAGGCCAAACCCTCGTCCACCAAACGTATAAACTTTGGATGGAAGCAGGTGGTGTCACCAGGTGCCACCAGCCACTGCACCACTCGACGACCGTACTGGTTGCCCACCAGCGTCTTCAGATCACCATGCAAATGGTCGTAGATGGCCTTCTTGGTGGCCTTTGTGTCATCGAGGGCATTGAGCAGTGAGATGAGGAAAACGTGGCCATGCTCGTGAGTGGCAATCTTCAGTAAATGCTCCTTAATGTTCTTGATGATGGCCTACGAATGGGAATTAGTTAAAGGAATGTCTTTAGGAATTTATATTGCATTTATTCGCTACTTACTCGACGGTTCTTGGGCGTGGATTTGTAGAAGCAAATGACACCAGCCTCGCTGCCTTCCTTAGTGGAAAGCATGTGGGGCACAAGAGCCGCAAAGGCAGTCACTGTCTCCTCTAGCTTCTCTTCGTCCTCGTCACAGGCACGCAGGTATTCCAGCATCACGGCATGGACAAGCGAACTATCTACCAACTGTTTATTGGCCACATGGTCCAGATTTGCTTTCACAGAGCCCAGAATAGAAGCCTTCATATTGGTTGTTTCCTTATACGTGTCACTTAGCGACTTGACATTCGAATCCTTCGCCTTACGATACAGGTCACCGTAGAACTCCTGTCGCATATGGATACGCTGCTGGGGTGTGGCACTCTGGTACATAGTGTCTAGCAAACTACTGGCGATGCTATGACCAGCAAGCCGTACTACGTGACCCATAAGGCTATCCACCAGCTTCGATTTGGTTGCTGGTGCTCCATATTTAAGCATTCGCTGGACGCAAAACTGGGCGTACTTTGACTGGCACATGTCCACGGTGAAGGGCAGCAGCTGCTCCGAGATTTCGGCCCGGAGAGCGGGAGAAGCATATTTCAGCATACATTGAAGCACGCGGGCGGTATCGTGGGCCTTAACCACCTTGGATATGGTGTCGCCCACGTTGAGCACCTTGTATATCTGCTCGACCAGCTTGTCCTTGTTCTCCGTGCGGCGGCTGTCGAGGGAAAAACAACGAGATTTTTTATTTATTTGTAGTCACTATAATTTTGTTAAAGCCTTACCATCGGAGCTTCTCGTAGATCTGCTTGGCCTCCTTGGTAATTTCGTAGGTGTCTCTGGTGCTCTTACGCTTCAGCTTGAGATCCTTTTTCTCCTGCTTGAACTTGGCCCAATCCTGTTTTTCGCCCTCAGCCGGTGCCTGTGGCTTTCCAGCGAACTTATTATTGTTGTTTCCGCCGAACTTTTTGCCACCGGCGCCGGATTTATCGAACTTTTTGAATCCTCCCGCTCCTCCGCCAGACTTGTCAAACTTCTTGAAACCTCCCGCACCACCGCTGGACTTGTCGAACCGCTTGCCCGACCCTGCTCCACCTGGCTTATCAAATTTCTTGGCACCTCCTCCGGCAGATTTGAATTTCTGTCCATTGATCGGTTTACCGGGCGATTTGTTGGGCTTGAAGGCCGGCGGAGGCTTAGTGCCTGTTTTCGCCACCTTTGCAGTTCCAGTTGCTTCCGAACTGACCATGTTTTTTGCCAGTATAACTTTGCACTTAAACTATTTGGAAATGTTGTTGGAAGTTACAAAAATTCTACACGTGCTGAAGGCGCAGTGTGACCGTCAGGCCTTTAGAACTTTTGCTTAAGTAAGCCACACGTATTGAACCGAACCAGAATCGGGCACACTTTTCGCCGGTCAGCAAAATACATTTGATCTGTTAAATTCCCGTTTTCCCTGCCATGCAAATAATTAGAAACGCCCAATTTTCAAAATATCGCACTTGTAACAGTTTAACTAGCAAAGCCAATAATGTCCGCGAAAAGTATGTTTTATCGCACACAGCTGTGGAGTAACCGATTATTCGATTGACAACCGGCGATAATTATTTTACAATCTGACACGTGCAAGTCATTTAAACTTCAAAACTAATTTCATTTTTTGATTGAAAAGAACAAAGAAAATCGCTCTAATTCTGCTGCGTGACTCGTCAAATTCCCTGTCTCTCATTCTACAGTGGAAAGCGATACGAAATGCCTAAGAAGACGGCAACAACATCAACGCCAATTGGCGCCGCAGGAGCGAAACCAAAAAAAGTTAAAACCAACGGTGAAGCGACCACCGACAACGGTAAACCAAAAGCCAGTGCCAATGGTAAAGGTAACAAACAGCCGGATGCAAATCCACCCTTCGATCGTGCAAACCTAGATAGTTTAGTAGAGGAGCTGTTTGTCGACAAAAAAAAGTTGACTGCAGACCAGTTGGTACAGCGTCAAAAGCTCGAGGAGTATATTTGCACAGAATTAAGTGATGACTCCGACGATAACAATGATTACACCGAGTATACTATGAACAGCTCCAGCCTTGAAAAATCGCCGTCGCCGCCAGCCCCGAAGGCTGCGCCAAAATCCTTGGCTGCCAGGCCAACAGATCGCAAACGGAGCCATCTTAATGACAACAGTGATGCAAATAATAATGATCAGCCCATCAAGCGCGATTCAACAAATCAACGTAAGCAGCGTCGCACCCTAGAACAAACTGCGCCCGTGCATGAGGACGGCAAGGCTCCATACTGCCCGCTGGTAGTTCGCAAATCCCTGCCCGCCGGCACAGAAGTCAAGTCCTGCCCGCTGCCAGGAAAACGCAATAGCCTGGCGGCCGGTGAGGTGAAGTCGTGCCCCCTGCCGCCCAAAGGGAAAGTCAGCCCACGAGTAGATGACCAGATGCCCAGCACCAGCAAACAAGCCAAGCAGAATGCCATTGTGGAAGTACCAAAGAACGTGCACAAATCCAATAGCATCGAGGATGGCCGCCGCGTTCTGCAGTGGATCATGAATCCGGTCCAACCGGATGACTTCTTCAGCGACTTTTGGGAGAAGAACGCCTGCCTGGTGCAGCGCAAGGATCCAAAGTTCTTCTCTAAGCTAATATCATTCAAGATGATCGACGAGATGCTAAATCAAAATCATCTGGAGTTCACTACCAACATCGATATAACAAGCTACACGGATGGCAAGCGCGAGACGCTGAATCCGGAAGGCAGGGCCAAGCCGCCAACAGTTTGGGGCTTCTACGGTGATGGCTGCAGCATTCGCATCCTAAATCCATCTACCTATTTGACCGGACTCCGTGAGACGTGCACCATGCTGCAGGAGTTCTTCCATTGCTTGGTTGGGGCGAATGTGTACTTAACTCCACCAAACAGTCAGGGATTCGCACCGCACTTTGATGATATCGAGGCCTTTGTACTGCAAATAGAGGGGCGCAAGCGCTGGCGCCTGTACATGCCGCTCCAGCCGGCCGACGTGCTGGCCCGCGAATCCTCGGGCAATTACAAACAGGAGGAACTGGGCGAGCCCATACTGGATGAAGTGCTGGAGGCCGGTGACGTTCTCTACTTCCCTCGCGGCACTGTCCACCAGGCAATCACCGACAAGGACCAGCATTCGCTGCACATAACTCTGAGTGTTTATCAACAGCAGGCGTATGCCAATCTTATGGAGCAGCTGATGCCGCACGTCCTCCAGAGGGCGGTGAAGCAGAGTCTTGCTATGCGGCGCGGTCTTCCGCTTCACACTTGGCAGAATATGGGTTTTGTGCATGGCACTGACCACAATCGCACCCGCAACCACTTCATAAAGGACGTCCAGGAGATGGTGCAAAAGCATATGGTGCCCACAGAGAAAGAGATCGACTGGGCTGTCGATCAGGTGGCCAAAAAGTTCCAACATGAGGCCCTGCCACCTACCATCAAACCGGAGGAGCAGGTCCGAACGGTCTTTGGGTCGCGTACCAGCCGTGATAAAAAGGGCTATGCCATCTGCGACTACGAGCTTACCGATCAGACTTCTATTCGTCTGCTGCGCGCCAATATTCTACGCCTGGTGAGCAGCGAAGACTCGCTGCGCATCTACTACTACGTGGACAATGCTCTGGAGTATTGCAAGTACGAGGCCAACTTTATGGAGATCGAGCCCAGCGATGCAGGTGCCGTCCAGACCCTGATTAAGGCCTATCCTGCCTATATTAAGGTATCTCTGCTGCCATTAAAGAGCGCTGATCGCAGGATTGAGGCGGCTACGGCTCTGTGGGAGCGCGGTCTCCTAATGACCGAGAAGCCGTTTAAGGAAGACGATAACGAACCTGAGGAAGATTAAAAACACAAAAAGCAGTACAAATTGTAATTACACCTAGAAGATAATTAATATTGTTATGTAGTAATTACGCAGACTCCGCTATCTTGCCTAGCAAAATATGCTGAAGTCCATTAACTAACATAATATCATTGTCATCATACTACATACATAAAAACGTGCAACATATATCATTTGTAATTCATTTCCCCAATTTGGGCACTCGGCCCACAAAATCCAAGAGTTTTGTGGTTGTTCTGAAGGCGCCTGCCGGGGTCATGAAATCTAAATATTATACACATATTTTTTGGTTAAACATAAACAATTGATTTTACTTTATTTGCACTAACTAAACGAATTGGAAAAGAAGAGAGGGGAAATATATCAAATATTTTCTTGCTTTCGCGGTAGAGGCTCTCTTTCTGAACTGAAAAATTAAGAAAAGGTTAAAAAAATACCCTTATATGTATGTACATATATGGTATATTTCTCTTCATACAATTACAGGGTACTCTCATCTTTAAACCCCAAGCACCACCTAAGAGTTAAACCACAGTATTGTCGCTCCGCTCGCATTTCGAGGCTGCATGCCTCCCACTCTAATTCAATGTTATGATTCCGGAAGCACTCAATTTTGCCCGCGAGACTACCTTTAATAATATTAATATTATTATTCTTTTTGTTCCACTGTACTGTAAGGATTATCTCCAATTTGTCGGTCAAACGCTAACCGCACGTTCCAGCACAACACCATGTTGCTTGGTATTCACAACCATTTGTACCAAACACAAGTTATATGCAGATCAAACCATGCCCTCACTTGATTTTCACCTTCTTCATTAAGACGTTAGTCAGTCTCATTTTCATAATCTTCTTATCCTCATTTCGATCACAACAATGCAAAAAAACAAGAGTATTGTTAATTTTTATATATATATAAAAATACGAACAGCTGATTGAGCACGAACTCCTATCGATAGGCAAACGGGCTGCCAGGGTTGTATAGTTGCAGATATTTGTGGTACGATAGTGATAGCGGTATTGGTGGCAACTCTACATAGTGTACAGTCGTCGAAAAAATTCCGAAATTTGTTTGTGTACTACTGCAGGTACGCGGCAAAAAGTCTTCTTCACCCGAAGTAAACAATTGGCGAAAAGCCTTCGATAACAATTCAGACGCAAGAATGGTCAAATTAGGCAAAAAGAAAGTGGTGGAGGAGCTCAGCCGCAAGAAGTCGGAAACCGAGGGCCGGCGCAGAAACGGAGCCGCCCCCGGCCGCGACAGTGATGACAAGAGTGTCGTGTCAGAGGAGCAAGCAGAGCGCGGAGACGCCGCATCCCGGGCCTCCAACTCCTCTTCGGAGGCCAAGAAGGCCACCAAGCGCAAGAGCAAGTCCACGGTGCGTTATGAATCGATTGACAGCGACGACCTACCACTGAACGGCAACGTCGCCAGCGGAGCAAAAAAGTCTCGGAAGTCCGCCAAAGCCAAGGGGACCCCTGCCAAGAACGGCACGAAGGCGGCATCCAAGCGCCAGTCCGCCGGCAACGATGCAGCTGATAATGATCAGGAAAACAGCGATGCAGAAGCCGGTTCACCAGAAGACGAGCAAGAAGAGTATGAGGTGAGTTTGTAAAGAGCACTTTGGTGTAATTTGAAGATGCCCACGAGACATGCTTGGCTCAGCAGAGGCAATCGGTTTCTATATTCTAGTCCAGTCTAGACTTATCCCAATTAGAGCAGTACGACTCTTATTCGGATAGTCTCAAAAAATATTATCTGAGTGGCTCTCAAATGTATCTACCATGAAAAAAAATTTCAAAACAAAACATGTTCAATCACGTTTTTTTATAACAATTTCAAAAAAATTACAGGTTGAGGCCATTGTTGGTCACAAGACTATGCGCGGCGCCTCATACTTTTTGGTGCGCTGGAAGGGTTACAACAAGGATTTTGACACTTGGGAGCTTGAAGGTAAACTGAATTGCGACGATTTGATTGCTCAGTTCCGCAACAAGGTATGTTATACATAAATAATGGGTCTATAAAGTTAGTTATTAATAATATCTCTTCCTTTTCATTAGCAGCCGAAAGTTGATACTGTTGCCAAGGCCAAAGGCAGGCCGAAAGTCGTTAAAAAAACTGCAACCGGTCGACGCGGAAGACCATCGGGTGGTGCTGCCAAAAAAACGGCTACGCCGGCAGATCCCGAAAAAGAATGGACGGTTGAACGCATTGTTGACTGTGTCGAGGACGATGATGGCAGCAATATTTATCGCATACGGTGGAAGGGATTCGGGCCCAAAGACGACACATGGGAGCCGGAGGCAAATCTGTTCTGCGAGGGCTTGATCGAGAAGTATAAGCGTGAGCTGATTACACAAAAGAATGTGGATACCAAGGAGTTGCGCGAGTCGCCAAAGAAGACCAAGCGACTGGTCAACGAGTGCTATCCGAGAACCAACATTCACAATCGTATTGAACGATCCTCGAAGCGCTGTGCCGCCAAGAACAGGTGAGGTTAAATACCATTCAACTAGGAAAGTACACTCACTGATTTAATTATTTTTTCAGAGTGTTTTATGGCGAGGAGTGAGTGAAGGCTGCGGCCAAGGCAGTCATTTCACCGGCTGCCTCGCCACCTCGAAGTGGTCGTCGTCGGCGAAGGCCGCTTGCCTGAATTCTGAACGTTTTTGTTTTGTTTTTGGGTTTTTTCTTTTCCTCTTTTTTTTAACGTTCCACTGAATGGAACCATATACAAAAACATAACATTTACATTTTAGATTCGAACAAGCGCCGCATCACAATCCAACAGGCCAGCACGGAACACTAAAGAATACAAAAGATTTATTTAGAATTTAAGATAAGTCAAGCACCACGGTATATTCGTAGTATTATATCTAGTTTTGCTGAACCCAACCAGCATAGAATGTAAGAACAAAATTCAATTTAGATCTAAGTAAACAAAAACCTCTTTAATTTGGCCACTAAAAACTTATTTGAGTGTAAGGAACTCACTCGTAATTACACCGTCACCATTCTTCCCAATTCTTCAATCAATATGTAGACATTCGAGTGTAATAATAATTGTAGTACTACTAGGAGAGTTGCAAAAGCATCTTCAGTATGTAATAAAAGTAATAAATGTAAACTTATGTTCAGTTTGCTCTAGGATTTAATACGCGAACTAGCAACACTAAAGAGCTCCGCTTCCCTGCTAACAAAAGATCATTTGTAATTTGATTAGGCTTAGACGGTCCATCCAATAGAATTGTCCTCAAAGACTTGCACGTTTCGAATACAGATAGTATAGTTGAGTATAGTACTAATATTTACGAAGGATTAAGACTCTTTTAAACCACGTTTTCCAAATCCATGTCGAAACACACTCGATCGCTTATCAAGGACCTCTTACAGTTGCTTAACTTTTATTTAACTTTTTCGCTCGACAATCAGTGATACGGTGTTATTGGCTCTTAATCCTCTAGAGACCGGGCTGCAGACCGAAACCGGGACCCTTTGGCTCCTCGCTTAGGGATGTGGGCTCACCCTTTGGCTCGCTGGCAAAACGACCATTGCGGGGACCAGGTGGCGATGGCTTATCGGCTTTAAGGTCTCTCAAAATATCCTGCATGTCCTTGGCAGTCAGATCCTCCTGCAATAGAGAATATATATAAGTATATATGTGATATCTTGGCCTCCGGGAGAACTCACATAATAATCATCGTTGACCGCTACCATCGGCGCATTGACGCAAGCTCCCAAGCATTCCACTTCCGAGATGGTGAACTTCTTGTCCTTGGTGGTATCACCTACACCAATTCCCAGTTGCTTCTTGCACGTCTCCAGGATCTCGTCCGAACCGCGCAGCCAGCATGGCGTGGTGGTGCACACCTGGATGTGGTACTTGCCGGTGGGCTTGCGCATGAACATCGTGTAGAAGGTGGCCACCTCGTAGACGCGCATATTGGGCAGCTCGAGAATCTCGGCCACCTTGTGCATGGCGGAGATTGGAAGCCAACCGTATTGTCGCTGGGCCAGATCCAGCAAGGGGATCATCGCACCCCGCTTGTGGCCCTCAGGATAGATGCTGAGGATTGCCTCCACGCGCTTCTTGTTCTCCGCGGTGAACTCGAACGGGATGTTCGGATTGTCCTCCGGGGTGTCGCGATGCACAAACAGATTGTCACTGGCCCGGAGGCCGCTGGTGCTGATTGCCCGGATACCACCGCGCTGCAAAATCATTGAGATCCTGTTAATGTTATTGTTTTCCTCAGCGTAATTATATAACCAAACGGGAAGGCAGTAGCCATTCCCCGTCCCACTCAATTGACTTTAGAGGGGCACTCCGCTTACCACTGCGGCCAGCGTCTTGGTGGCACAATTCGTCAGCATTTTGTTGATTCCAAAAATGAGCTGCGGCTACGAAAAAGCTTATTTGCTCTTATGTGAAATCTCCTGCCTGGCCTGCTGTCAGTTTTTTTTACAAGCACCCTCTGCCAGCTGATTTTGGACAAGCGCTTCACAGCACTAGTCAGACAGTTAGAGATGGGTGTGACGACTACATTTGTTTTTAGTAATTTGTTTATATATTTATGGTATACTACTAATTTTAGACAATATATTAAATTCATAAAAGCTTATATATTAGCTTTTATTGTTCGAAGTTTTGAAGAAAATATTCCTAGACTTCGACATACGCAGAGAGACAGAAAATTGGACATTTGTATATCATCTCTGATGTCTCTGATGGTATATTACTAATTTTAGACAATATATAAAATTCATAAAAGCTTGTATATTAGCTTTTATTGCTATAAATTTTTAAGAATATATTCCTAGACTTTGACATATGCAGGGAGACAGAAAATTGGACATGTGTATATCATCTCTGATATTAGTACTGTACAAAAATATGTTTAATTATATGCATTAAATTAAAAAACAATATTTTATTTAAAATCAAGGAAAGAAGCTAACTTCGGCAACCCGAAGTTCATATACCCCTCAATAATAAATCTTAACATTAATGGGACTAATTAATTAAGTAATATATTTTAGAGTCCTTAAGGTTGTGGGTAAAATTCCCTAACTTAGAAATTATACAGCCATACGTCAGAGTAAATGGAAATATGTTTAAAAAAATTAAACAAAAACATCTATAAATTTTATGACTACCATTAGGTAAATCTCCTTGACTGCGTAGCACATTTTTGACTGAAATCCTAATACTTTTTGGAAAAGAATTCGACTGAATAACTGAATTACTTATACATATGAATGACTGGCATTAATATGCAGATTGTACAGCAATTTTAAGATTTTAAACATTTTAATTGATATGCTATATTATATAAAAACATTTATTCATTTAACAAAAAATATCGTATGTATTGCGATATATGTCGCATACCTCACACTCTCCAACACTGATCCAAGCCATCGACTTGACCTATCGATAGCGCGCTGAAAGCAGCTTGAAAAATCTAACGGACGCGAGGACGCTAGCGAAAATGGAGAATTTTCCAATTGCAAATAGTTTTATCAGAAATTCATACATTCAAAATGTTAAAATAAGGGCACTTTTGCCGCAGTTTGAGGAGGCGCTCGGCTGCAATCAGCAAGTGCGGCAGAAATTAAGAGGTGAGTGTCTATAATATTTCTGGCGCTTCGCCATGTTTCAAGCTGCTAACTCTTGCCGCAGCTATTCAGCCCGAATTACAGGCACTGGAATTTCACTCGGCTGTATGCGATCAAGTGATAACTGTGGCGGTGGCGGCACAGAACACGGCGACAATGGCGTCGAAATCTGTTGCAACATGCTACAAGCAAATCGTCCATATGGAGCAGCTGATTAACGAGATGGAAATAGGGAATATTGTCAATTATACAGTTAAATGCAAGGAGGACGAGACGATCCGTGAGATTACTTTGCTAAAACACTCGTTCGATGAGGAGGCGAAGCAGCTAGACGTTCTCGAAGCCCGCAGCGTGGGTAAGATAGTGTGGATTCCCCCAAAATTATGAATATGTCTTTCAAATATATCTCCCTATACGATTTTGTATTTAATCTGTCTTCAGTGAGGAATCTCCGTCAGCTGCAGATCCATCAGGAGAGTAGCCAAAATGACCTGGCTGTGCTGGAACGGGAAGTGTATAAATTGGAGCGTCAGATGCTGAACAAGATGAAAAATGCCACGGATTATAGGAATAAAAAGATAATTCACATATTGGAAATCAGAAAGTTGATCTTGGCAAATGAGGCAAAGGTTGTAGATTTCGTCTTTTCACTTTTCACTTTACCTAATTAACTAATTGACATTCTTTGCTTCATATAGTCAACTGATCTTGCGGGTATTCAACCAAACCTTGATTTGAAACGCAAAAAGCGTCCCTCCATTTCCCCAAAAGGTTGGGTAAATGGTTCTATCCTTTTGCCGGCTTTGGATTTCCTTAGCAAATTTATGCAGTTTAAGACCAACGACGAAGAAAAACCGCAGCAGGAGAATGAGAGCGAGTCGGTGCAAGAGGTGGCGTTGCAATCTATTTTGCATCGACGCAATGGCACTCCATCACCCACCAAGCAAGTACGGTTTGTTGCTTCGCCCGACTTGGAAAGCGTTCACATTGTGAATCGACTTTCTTCAATGTCGACTGATGACGGTTCAGTGGGGCGAGAAGATTTAAAGCCAGACTCTTCAAAGAAATCAAGCCAGATGGGAGGACTCACCGAGGAGAGGGACGATGGCGAAGATTGGAATGATGGGGGATGCGAGGATCATGGACAAGAAGTCGAATATGAATCCGAGGAAATTAAATATCTGTCGGCAGAAGATGAGGAATTAACTCTGATGGAGTCAGATGGAGAAGAGTCATCCGGAGACGAGAATTTGACTCCAGGAGGAACTAAAAAAAAGGGTTCAACACAATTTAAAAAGATACCACAAATGGAAGAGCCTGAAAGAGAGAATGAATCCAGGGCTTCCTGGGGCAAAGGATATATCAAGGAGTCACAGAATAAGTCAATCAACAAACAGAAAGTTGAAGTACTCAGCGTGGTGATTATACCACCACCAGGAGACACAACACAGAGCACTTCTACCCCACAAGACAGCGGCTCGAAAAATAATAGATTCAAGCTCACGGCCAGCCAAAAGACCAGCAGCGATGCCATGGATGTGGACGAGGACGATCGTCTTCCGTTGCAATTTCAGCAGAAGGCGGAGGACGAGGACGAGAATAATATTGAGTTCCCAATGGCACAGCCCACGCCCATACAGTTTAAGAATCCATCCTCGATGGCAGTATCACCGCCATCCAGCGACCAGGCTGATTCCATGCTTAACTTCTCCGAACCGAATTGCGAGTACAATGATGATTTCTGGCTGAGCAACACCGATAATAATTCAAATGTTGATCAATTTTATGATCTATAAACGCCGAAAAGGACTATAATCTAATAATCAGTTTTTCAATCAAAATATAAGCAACGCCAATTGAAGGCTTCACATAATATTTCTTTCTTTTCCATAGAACCTTAGTTGTTCATTAAAATATAGTATTTAACACAGAATTACCTTTATTTTAACATTTCCAAGGAAGGAATATTACTTTTAAATGAATATATAGTACCACTTTAACACATATTGTTATTTTAAATTTTAACAATTCCAATTGGTTTTTCAAAATGAATAATTGCTTTTTATTAGTAAAATATTGGAAAAATTTAACTAATTGTTTATTTTTATGAAATTACATTTAAAATTTGAACGCTGTAATTGGCAATCTCTGTGAAAAATATACATATTAAATAAAAATGTATACGTTAAATTTATAAATGTTAAATTTCTTTAACATAAAGTATTACTTTAACTTTCAACAATTCCAATTCCTTATTTCTAAATGAATTAATTGTTTTTCAATAATATATTGGAAAAATTCAACTATTTTCTATTATCAAATTTCTTTTCCAATTTCAACACTGTTATTGGTAATCTCTGCAAAACGATTTATTTAATAAAAAATTTGTACATATATATTTATAAACTTTAAATTTCACTTTTAAGTGAAATTATTTAATTTTTAAAGCGCCTTAAATTAATTTCCCAAATTTTTATTCGATACGACTGTCCGACCGACTATCGATAGCACAATCGATAGTCACCTCTTTTGTCATCGTAATTTTTGTAAATAAAACCACGAGTTTGTAAAACGGAATAAATAATGGCCAGGAAAAGGAAAATTCCAGTCCGCAAGCACCACGGCATCCGCGATCCCCTCAAGCAAATTGAGCAGAAGGAAAAGAAGTACCAACTTGAGCCATAAGCACTTAGGAACAGCGCACTAATATATTTCCTTTGCAGACTCTCCAAAGTAACGAACAATCCACCCGAGAGGAAGGACGAGCAGCAGGTGTCCTTTAAGTTCCGCCAGTTCAAGCAACTAGCCGATGCCACCAAGAGCGGGAAGAAGGTAAAACGGGGCGTCATAGGCAAGGAGGATATTCCCAAATCGTCGTTAGGGGCCAAGACCAGCGGCAGCTCCTCGGCCAAAGAAGTAAGAAATATCAAACAGTTTGCCAACGAAACCGACGAGGATTATCTGCGTCGCGTTAACCGCATCACCAGTGCCTCCGTGCGCGAGGCTCAGTACGAGGCCAAATATGGAGTCAATGTGATTAGGAACCCCAAAACCGGAGAGATTACGGTCCAGAAGAGGCCCAAAAACGAGATTGATGAACTGCTCAAGCAGAAACAAAAGGAACGTCGCACAGCTGTGGGCAAAAATGGTCGGAGAAAGGCTAATAATGCTCCCCAAAAGGCCACAATGGATCCTAAAACCAGCAGGGAGCTGATAAAGAGAGCATACAAGGAGGCCAAGGACGAGGTGGATTCCGAGAACAAGAAAAGTGCCCCGCCTACGGAATATAAACGAGACGTTGTTGCCTTTGGCGAGATCGTACATGCGCCACCATCCCTAAAGACGCTGCCCAGAAAGGCGCCGAAGAACGAGACGGTCCCACGACCGGGACGCAAATCCAATCTACTCCTGAAATCCATGCTGAATCCCGCTACAACAGAGGCGGATCAAGAGCAGAACGACGGCAGTGGGCTTAAGGTGGCGCCCAAGTCCAAGGTGGCCTTCAAAGCACCCACCAAAGCACAGATGAAGGGCAAGCGTAGGGATCTACCGGCGGCCACACGTTCCATGCTAGAAAACGAGCGCAACAAGATGATTTCACTGTACCGTCAACTGAAGAATAAGACGGCAACGGATGCCTGAATATTAAGACTAAATGGATTTCCCATTAATTTTTTTACCCCGAAAACAATACACTAATTAATGTTTAAGAAATGCATTTGTTATTTTTGACATCGATAGCAAATAATTACAGATTACAAATACCCTTAGATTCAAATTGGGTTTGTAAATATAAATCACGATCGTTAATTAATTAGTGTATGAAAAAATCTGAAAAACAAACTGACCGCAAATGTTAGCAAAGTTTCACTCCATTTTCACATTATTATGTGCATCCCTTAGACGGCTATAGGCTGTCTACACTTTCGATATTAAAAAAATAATAATAATAATAACATAAAATATAACTTTAAAATACAGATATATTTATATTCGTAAGATAATATATATTTTCAACAACTCTTATCTAAATATTTGCTTAAATAACCTAAATGTTCAATTTGTGACACTTATGGTAGCCTTTTTTTTTATTTCAAATCTTTGTTTAAATTGGGTTCTTTGTTACCAACGCTCTAGATGGGAGCAGAGAAGCATATTGTATAAATATTTTCCACTTTATTGTTGATTTCAGTTTAATGGCAGAACGATAGTTGACTTAAAGAGCAAATTTTGTGCTAAGGGACAAGCACGTATTCAACGCGAGTAAACTCTCAATACTTTCCATTTTGAAACAGAGATTTACGTTTGAAATCAAGGTTTAATTAATTGTTTTAGATGTTTAATTCTTAACAATTTTAACCTTCCCTTTAAGCAGTTGTCAATAATTTATTTTATAATATCAAAAATTCCAACTACTTTGTCAAACTATGTTACTTTATCTACCCCATGTATCTGTAAACGTGTAAAATTGTTTTCTAGACGTGTAAAATGTAAGCTGTTAAAAATAAAAAAAAAAAATATCGATATAATTGGTATTTTGATATATTTTCAGAAACATCAAGCCACACTCGACAGCACCCGAGAGAGAGAGTTCTTTTAGTTAACATCCACCCGACGGAAAACGATAGAGAAAAGAGCGTCCATGTGACGAATGTTACATTTTACACAATAATTTTACCCCAACAATGAGAATTCGACCCCATGTATCTGTAAACGTGTAAAACTACTATCTGGACGTGTAAGATGTAAAATGTTAAATAACAGCATAAACTAATATGGCAACATATAAAGAATGTATGGCAACATTGAAAAAAAAAATCAACCCTAAAAATTTATTATTTTTCGGCCGCGCGACAAGTTCCTCAAAATTCTTAGTTCTAGGAAAAAACTTAGTGCCCAGCAAAACACGGAGTGTATTGTCTAAACATTTCGTTTGGCAATTTTTTTTATATTTTTTTTACAATATTGATTTCATTGTGAATACACACATACACACTGACGCATGTGGATACAGAGGAAAACAACAATTGCTGGCGCGCAAATACACACACACACGGACAGACGAATAACAACAATTGATAAATTAGACGCTAAATGAGTCAAATATTGTGCTTGTACAATTAAAGCCGAGTGTTTTGTTCCTGTTTTGCCAGATATTATAATGTCTTGCTGCAATAGTGTGGGTGAGTTTGGTTCTTGTTTCTTCTTCTTCGTCTTTGGCTTATCAGCTGGGAATAACTGTGTTTTACCTCTAAGTAGTGTCTATAATCTGAAATAATCACATTTCTCATTGCTGTTCCAGACAACCCTGATAAGATGCCAAAGCTGAACGGTGTTCTGAGTTTACGGAATGGAAGGCACAAGATATCGAAGGACCCATTGCTGGGGCAGCAGGTGCACCAGCAGCAGCAGCAGCAACAAATGCAGCAGGAGCAGGATCAGCCCCAGCAGCAGCAGCAACAAGCCACGCCACAAAAGCAGGCAATGTCGCCGGACGAAAAGAAGGCCACCAAGAAGTCCCTGGTCATCGTGGCGGCGATCTTCGTGGCCAGCCTGGCCACCATGTGCTATGTGTACGCCATATTCCCCGAGCTGAACGCGTAAGTTGGCTTAATTAGAGCCTCGTCTTCACGGATGATGTGTCCCCAGCGCATTCGTGCACCTGTGAGGTGTAAAAAAGTCGAGCGGGTGTGCCAGTGTGTGTGTGCGCAGGTCTCGCTTGATTTGCGAGCAGAGATGTCACTAAAAGTAGCTAGATCACAGTAATAATCTCAGGAATGTTCGTCATAGCATAAAAATGCCTTTGTTTCCAAAGAAATCACCTCAAAAGTCGCAGTTAAAAATGTATAATTCTCACTACATACATATACATATGTATCTATCTATGTATGTGGATGACTGGCTCTGTATAGTTTCTGCTTACTGTACAAATAATATCTTTAGGTTTACTGAAATACTTTGGTATCTTGAATAATCAGCAAATGTGCCTGACAAAACGTTATCAATTTGTTGAATGTTTAAACATACATGTGTTCTGTACAAAATCAATTAAATTTTTGTTGAATTTTAATTGGCATAAATATTGCAAACTCACCGCATTATCTTTTTTTTTGCTTGTCGCTCGCAACTTGTGATTTTTTTAGATGTATTAAGGGGTTGAGCCCCCTTCTTTATTATTTTTGATCAATAATTGATGATGTTGTGAAATTGTTCTTATCTGGTATGTCAGACTTTTAGGACTCTTTTGTTTACTGTTTTGTAGATATGCGTATATAAAAGTATTATAAGTCTACTGCAATAGTTACGGAATTATTACATCAATATCGTTTATGGCACTATAAAATCGGTTATCTTTTGACTATCTCTATCATGCCCACGCTCAATGGGGTTTCGTGAAAGTAACAATACCAGAAGCGTTAATATTCGTATTTATACGTAGCTATAAAATGTATCTTTATCTTTATAAAAAGTTATGTCAAGTTTAATATGGAATTTGAAATACTTTACCATTTAAATTAAGACTTAAAATGTCGAGTGTTAAATATCAGTATATTTAAATTGCTTATATATATTATTATTATATTAGCTGGAAAATGGCAGAATTATCAACACTGTTAGTGAGAGGGTTTATATACAAGCACACACACACACGAACACATATAAGCCGAGTCACGCCACTTGCCACCCATATTAGCACACCAAAAGTGTTTACACCCCGACTTGTTGCTCTTCTTGTTCTCCCCGCAGGTCGGAAAAACAACATTTGAAAATACCGCGTGATATCCAAGATGCTAAGATGCTGGCCAAGGTCCTCGATCGTTACAAGGACATGTACTACTTCGAAGTGATGTTCGGCGTCGTGGTCGCCTACGTATTGTATCCTTTTACCAATGCAAACACCCAGCTATATGCTACCGAAAATCGAATGTCTAGAATCGGCAACCGATTAGATAAGAATTCAATTGTTCGACGTTAACCTTGACCCGATTACCGAAAAAAGGCAGACAAACGGACAGACAGCACAAACTATTCACGGCCGGCCGTGCATTTGTATTTCGCTTAATTAATGCACGATCACCGCCGATCGCCATAGTGTGCATATTAATTACGTGGGTAGTTCCGTACACAGCGTGCGGGTGCGAGCGAGATGGCACCAGGAAGCGGGGCACGGGCACCCACAGAACGTGGGGGCAGCACAGCTGATATTTCGGTGTCTAGCTCGTGCTCACAGTGTGTATACCTTTCTCTCTCACGCACTCACTATCTTAGCTCTCAGCGCTCGACGTGCACTCCTAGGGTGGACCTGTTCCAATATAGCTTTGGTTAACTGTTGATTGTCCCATTATTTTAAATTGAAATATTAGTGAAATGTAAATTTGTTTAAAAAACGATCTAGCATACAAATAATTTAGACTGTCAACAAAATGAAATGAAAAGTTTAGTAACGGGTCCAGCCCAATGCATTATAGCTTGCGCCATCACTCTCACTCCCTCTTAAATCGACTTTGGACACTCGTGTGACGCATTCTTTGTGTTTGTTGCTGTTTTCGTTGAAGAAATCAGCTGAGCTGGACATAATTTTGTTGTCGTCTTGAGTTTTGTTTTGTGCTCTTCTCCGCCAATTCAATTGCGTTTTTAGCCCCCCCCCCCCCCAGCCAAGGTAAACAACAAAACCCAAAGCAAATAAGCACTTTTTTGTTTGTCTTTCATTACTGCCTCGCAATTATTCATAGCAGCTTTGATCGCTTGTGGTTTTGTGTGAGTGTGGGAGGGAGGGAGTGGGCGAGAGTGTGCAATGTCGTTATCGGGCATCTGCAGAATACGTGGTCCGATGTCAGATGATTCGATTCTTCGGGGGAATCTCAGAGATACTCGTCGCGATGGGGGTGCCATTGTCAAGTCTTTGCGTTTATTAATAGCTGCCCACAGCACGAGCACGCGTCCAACTGACCGTCAAATATTTAGCTAATCCCAAGCACAGTGATCATTCCGTGAGGGGAATATCATTGTTTAATATACCCTTGCAGGGTATTTAAATTTTAGTCAGAAGCTTGTATCACTGTGAAGGACTCATTTTCGACCCTATAAGTAATATATATTCTTGATCAGCATCAATAGCCGAGTCAATCTAGCCATCTAAGACAAGAACATTTTTTTTTAAATTTATGATCGTTAAAAATTTCAAAAAAAAAAATTGGAAAATGTAATTTTGTAAAATTTCATATTGAGTAGGCATAATTGTTAACCTAATAAAAACTAGCATAGGAAAGCTTTCCGAATTAAAATTAATGAGTTTTTGGCCTAGCTATGAGTTATTTTAACTTTGATTTGACGACAAAAAATGGCTATCGTAGATAAATATCTATAAATTTAGATTTCAAGAATAAGAATTTTTAAAGCGTAGTTATAATCGTAGAACAGCAAGGGTATTTAAACTTTGGCTTCCCGAAGTTAGTTTCCTTTCTTGTTTTATTTTTAATTTTGTCAAAGAAAAAGGGGGAAACTATTTTGTGTTGGCCCCTAGCCAGTGCATACTTTACACAAGCTTTCAGATATTATTCAGATCAAACCGCCTCCGACTGGTTGCCTTGACCCAATTGAAATCCATTTATAGCCTGCAAACATTCGCCATTCCCGGATCGCTGTTTCTGTCGATTCTGCTTGGATTCCTGTACAAATTCCCGATTGCCCTGTTCCTCATCTGTTTCTGCTCGGCGCTGGGCGCCACCTTATGCTACACACTTTCCAATCTGGTGGGACGCCGCCTGATCCGGCACTTTTGGCCAAAGAAGACCAGCGAGTGGTCCAAGCACGTGGAGGAGTACCGAGACAGTCTGTTCAACTATATGCTATTCCTGCGCATGACACCGATCCTGCCAAACTGGTTCATCAATCTGGCGTCACCGGTGATTGGAGTGCCGCTGCACATTTTCGCCCTGGGAACCTTTTGCGGTGTCGCACCGCCATCGGTAATTGCCATCCAGGCGGGGAAGACCCTCCAGAAGATGACCAGCTCGAGCGAGGCCTTCTCCTGGACCTCGATGGGCATCCTGATGGTCTGCGCGTGTGCCTCTCTGTTGCCTGGCCTCCTTAAAAACAAGTTCAAGCACAAGCAGGAGAAGGAGGCGTAAGCTGGAGTCTGGGAACCTGGAAACTTAACAACCGGAGAGTCCTCAATCCGATATATGTATGCTGTATGCTATTCCCCCAAACTGAAACCAAAACACACCCGAAAAATCATTAATTGTAATTTATATACATAACAAAGCAGAGCAAAAGTTGGAAGGCACTTCGGGTCTCGATCCACTACGTTTAAGTGTACTACAAATGTCTGTGTTTCTTTTATTATTATTATTTTTTTATCATTATTATTATTATTATTATTCGAAAAACAAAACAAAACAAAAAACAACAACAAAAATATTCTTACGATAAACTTTTGCATCATATATTTCCATCAATTGTTTTTAAGTTAGTGAATTTTTGTTTAGTGCTATTGCAGTATTTACTAGAAAAGTTCTCATATAAGTAAATCAAATTAGCAAAAATAAATCCATTGAATATTATTATGCCTATACATAAATATTAAATGTGGTATGTATGTACATGTATGTGTGTGCGCAAGTTAATGTTTAAAAATGGCAAACTAAAAAGATAATTGAAAATTTATTAATTTTGATATGGAATGGGCTTGGGGTGTTTTATTAATCCACAGAGTTAAAGGATACTAGTACTAAAGAATGTAACTGGCAAATGAGTACTCTAATAATAATATAATATAATAATATATAAAATAATAATATATAATATAATAATATATAATATAATAATATATAATATAATAATATATAATATAATAATATATAATATAATAATATATTACTTTCTCGATTAGTTTTTTCCAGGCGAGTTGATATGGAGCTTTCACATGTAGACCTTCAAAATTATGGATAAAATGTCCTGTACATACATAGGTATTTATGAATTATACATTATAATTAACTAAAAAGTAGGTTTTCAAACTAAATTTCGGAAATTGTTTAAATCTAAAGTGACAGCTTTTGGCATAAGCTCTTTGAATGTTTGGCGCCTCTTCGTAATTCAAAACTGTGCAATGTCAAAGCTCAAGGACTTAGCTTTCCTGCCTCCCTGACACTCCCTTTCTTTGCCATTTTCAAACTTTTGTGTCCCTCGTCGCTGATTCTTTGTTATTGTTTTAATTAGTCTCTGTTATTGTTGTCCCAACGATGGGCGCTTTCTTTTCGCCCTTTTGTTATTGTTGGCCTAATGCGGTTTTGGCCTCCCATTTGATTTGTTTGCTCAATTAGTTGGGCAAACTTTTTTAAAAAGGATTAAGTGCCGTCAAGGCACTCTGGGTCGGTACTTTGCCTTCAATATTTTTTCATACTTACGCTTTTACCATAACTCTGTTTTCAGGGTTTTTTCTTCTTAGAATTCTTTTTGTTGAGTCTGTTGATGCCACAGGTATCACTGCACACACACTTCCAAAAGAAAGAATTGTGGTTTTAAGACGTTATTCTGCTCAAAATAAAATCCTACGTTAGCATCAAAGAGTTTTGACTGTGTTGTATATGTATACCCTTGCAAGAACATAGAAATTATATTAACCGTATTATAATTTGGACCGCCATGCGTTACAGCATCACAAAAGGCGGTACGCCAACGTTAACGTTTAGGCCAACTTTTGGTAATTGGCTAAAAAATATGCACATCTTTATTGGGCTTAAGTAGTACACAGAGATATGAACAGACTTCGGGTTTGCCTGTGGCTCTGATCACTTAATTCCCAGACAAATGCAAATGAAAAAATAGGCAAAAGTGAGGCGGGGGATGAAGGGAATCATTGTAATCGTTTGTAAATTATGCACTTCATTAGTGAGCGATTTACCAATATATATGTTTAAGCCATCTTAAAGAGTGCAGAAAATTAAGTTTTAAATTTGCAGGAATTTATATTTCAGGCATGTGAAAATACATTTTAAATATTGTAATAATCAAATGATTGCCAAGGATACTAATAGAAAGGGTTTATCTAAGAGGGAGAGGAAAAGCAATACAGGATATTTAGTATATGATTTCAAGGATATAATAGAGAAAGCACAGTTCTCCTTCTCTTTCCAGAGATATTAAAAATATTTAATCAAATATAAATATGCGATTTGATGTCCATTTATATTCACTTTGTATACAAATGTCTCTACTGTCTGACTCTTTTTTTCGTTGGCTGGGATTGAATTTGTTAATTATTTTCGCCTTAATTTCGTCTGGTCAAATGTGTGTGTTTTTTTTGCAATATAAAAGGGCAAATTGTAAATGTGGAGTGTGTGCTGATGCTGGGCAGGGCGACTCTAATCCACTTTGTCGCCGAGTCTGCCAATTATGCAAATCAATCATGAAAGTGGAGTGAGGAAGGACACACTTGTTCGCATCACTAGCGAACGTGCCTTTGCCAATTTTTACAAGGAGATGGCACAGTGGAGCAGGGGGATTCCCTTTAATTAGAAATTAAAATTATATAAATATAGGTATAAAAAGAGGTATAAAATACAGCAAATGGTCTACTTTTTCGAGGAATTTTAAAAGGCGGCTGAGGTATATATTTCTTTAATTTTTATACCCTTGCAGGGTATTATAATTTCAGTCAGAAGTTTGCAACGCAGTGAAGGAGGCACCTCCGACTGTAAAAAGTATATATTTTCTTGATCAGGATCAACAGCCGAGTCGATCTAGCCATGTCCGTCTGTCCGTCTGTCCTTCTGTCCGTCTGTCGGCTTTTACGCAAACTAGTCTCTCAGATTTGAAGCTATCTGAATGAAACTTTGCAGTTAGTCTTCTATATACTATCATTCTTATATATGTCGGAACGGGCCGGATCGGACGACTATATCATATAGCTGCCATAGGAATGACCGGCAAATTTTTACAAAAAAAATTATAACATTTTTTGTTTTCAACAGAATTTAATCAAATTTGAGATATAGCCATTTCATATTATTCTACAATTTTGTGTAAAATTTTATGAAAATCGGACTACTATATCATATAGCTCCCATAAGAACGATCGAGAAATACAATAATAATAATAAATACAATTAAAAAGTATAACGTTTTCAGTATTCAGCAGATTTTATTCAATTTTTAGATATCGCCATTTTGTATCAGTCTTAAATTTTGTGTCAAATTTTATGAAAATCGGACAACTATATCATATAGGTGCCATACAAACGATTGTTTGATGTAGAGGAAAAATGCAAATCTGTGAATGTAAAGCTGCAAATATAATATGTATAGGTGAATGAAATGAAAGCAGGTATTACTTCATTGTTTTTTTTAACACAAATATATATAATTTATATTTTATTGATTCCTAGTCATCGAAGTTCTATCTGCAAGGGTATATAAACTTCGGCGTGCCGAAGTTAGCTTCCTTTCTTGTTTTTATTTACTTTTAATACGTCAGTATTTATGTAAATTAAAGAAATACAAAATGTTAAATATGACCAAGGCTTAATAATATTTTTGAAGTCCTTGATTTTGAGTTTATAAAACTCGAGACTGAAACTATTTTGACCCACTGTGGGCTGGGCTAGTCCAGGGGGTTTTCAAAGCGGATCTGGTCTTGGCCGATGATTGAGGCCAGCTTTGGCATTGATGTAAACGGGTGGCTGACGTGACCGGGGCCAACAAAGAGCTACAGTTTGCTAGCCGTGTATTATTTTTTAATTGCCCCCGGACGAGTGGCCTAGTCCTAGTTTTGCTTCTGGTCCTGGGCCTGCATCTTCTAGAGCTTCGGCCTGATGCGGGCTTTTCCTTTCTCGGTTCCTAGAAAATGAAATTTCATTGTTCATCGAGTACTTATCGGTGGCTGTGCACAACACACACACCGGCAGAAAGCCCACGCACATGCGTTCGATTTAATCCAAATTCAATTCACTTTAGTTGGTGTTCTTATCGGAGCAGCCATGGACTCCGGTCCAAGTCCCAGGCCACCCCTCTCACACAGTTGGGCTTTATTGCCCTTGTCTGTGGCCAGCAGACCAAAGGATCCCGAAATCCGAAATCTGAAAAACACGCGCCCAAATCAAAACCAAGAGAGAAAAAACCTGTCCATCCATCTACGCATCCTTGTGGCCGGCAACCAGCTTCTGGCTGCTTAATTAAATAGAATTGAAAAGCTTCAATTATTCAATAGAACAATAGAAGAAGGGATAGCCGCTGCCCGATGCTAAGTACACTGCGTTGCAGTTTTATAAATCTAGGTAGGATTTTTTTTTTCGATTTTTATTAAAGATTTAGATCAGTTTGTCATCATTATTTGTTAGTTATTAATCGTTATTTTTTTATTATTTAATTATATTTATATTATACATATCAATTATATATTTGAAAGCCTTTTTTAATGTTTCTTGCACTCACGTTCCCCATTGTATGTTTGATCAAGGACATCCCATCCCTGATTTTGTCAAAGATTGGGATCAGAGTCACCTTATTACTTACTCTTTAATAGATAATCGTTACTCCTATTATTTAGTTAATTAAAGTCCATCCCAAATTGTATTAAAGATTCATATCAGCGTAATCCCTACTCCTTAATTCTTACTCGCTTCTCTTTACTCTTGGAGTGATATTTTGTATTATTTTATTAAATTTTCTTTCGATTTTAAAGTAATTTTTATCTTTAACCATTAATTCATATATTTACGTTCCACAATGTAGTCTCAGACCAAGGCCATCCCATCTGTTATTGCATCTTTTCGTCCGACTGAACAAATCGAAAGCCTTGCAGAAACAAAAGGACTTCCCAAGACGCCCCTCCTTGCCGGGCAACTAATTGTAAAGTCAAACAGAAACTGTTAACCAAATGGTCCTGGTCCTAGTCTTGGTCCTGATTCTGGTTCTGGGAAATATGCCCCTTGGGGGGATTGGCAGGCGGCTATCCCCTTTGCACCGATTCTAATTCTAATTCGAATCCTGACACATTTGCTCCGTTGATGCCTTCCTTTGACTGCTGCTGCTGCTGCAGCCAGGACGACGACGACGACAGCCAAGGGTATTAAAAAAGTTTTCAATTTCGTTGGCCGTCGTCCTTGAGAGTTTTCGGTTGAGCCGCCGCCGTCGCCAAGCGAAGTACATATTTTCCTCTGTTGGTGGATTTTATGATACTCATCATTCGGGATGTTGATGAAGCGTGCTCATAAATAATAGGTTGAATGAATAACATTATAATGAATAATCTATTAATAATCTAAATAATAATAATCGGAGTTTAGGTATAAAGAAAAATCGATTTTAAATCGATTAACGAAG